CTCTAAGCGGAATTTGATTTTTGCCAAATTTTTGAACAAGCAATAAATGAATGAAATTGCTGTCCTAAACTCCATCCTAGACCGCTCCAACCAAGTTCCCTTTCGAGGACCGATCTCTTGCCGACACTGTAAGGCATTACGCCTCCACCTGTCGGAAACAGTTGAAGGTGTCATTTGGTGGCCATTGTTGACTACAAGTTGCTGATGGGTCACTCTGTGGCTTTGCAAAAAACGTAATGCCGTCTGCTTTCCATTAACGAGAGTTGAAAGCGTCAGGAAGGTCACCCATGATTTTACGTCCGAACGGAGAAAATTTTTGCACAAAATGAGCCTAGATGCGGATAAGGAATCGGTTTCATCAAAAGTAGTTCAAGGTTTTGTGTGTACATTGAATTGGAGCTAGCAAGAAGTAGCGGGTCGTAACTTCGCGCACATGCACTTTTTGCGTTAGTGGCGGGGATTATCTGGAAAAGATCCGTGCTACTTTCCTCAGCACGTTCAATAAGCGTAATTCTATCGAACAAACTTATGTGCGATCCTCTCTTAGTCAACTACAGTTCGACGTCTATCTATGAAACTGAAAACCCACTCTGTTATTTGATGGCCTGTTCATAGAGTATCCGGCGTTTCTATCCTTTCCTTGTTGGATTTTTGGCTCTCTCGTTCCCTTTCGTGGATTGTTTGAGAACGTATACCTGTCAGACGGTCAAACGCCTTTCAAAGCAGAATGGAAACTAACATACAGCTTGACTGACTTCGCCACGAGCAAGCATCTTGACTTTCATCCCAACTTCATCCATGAATCCTTTCTCCAACCAACTTCTAGAGCTAAGGCGACCTCATGTCATAATCCCCGATGCCAATTTCCACACAGCAGACATTTAACCTAATGTAATTCTGTGATCCTTCACCGAACTCATTTTCCAAACTTCCTGCACCCACCTACAACTAGTCCGAAATTGTCTAGCGTCCGTAGCACTGCGTGACTCGGAAGTCCTGACGGACAGGTCAGTCGATCGACACTACAAGGTAAGACATTTGGTTGTCGTTCAAGGTGCCAGGCAAACCAGTTAAAGCGAGATCATGTAACGAGTCATGTGCTGGTTGGGTAGTGGTAAAACAGTTGCATCGCATGTCAGATTTCTAGATTTCAGGTCCCGGATACACACTGTTGACAAGCCATAATAGGAGCGAAACTCGAGTCCAGTGCTTCCCCCTACGACCTGAGAAGTGCTGTGTAATTCGAGCCTGAGCTACTCCCAACGCCCTGCATAACTTTCTCAGGTACAGTATTCACTGTTAGCTGATTCACATACAACCCTTGACTCACATTAAGTTGTTCTTTTTCTCATTCCTATACGCTGCCGTTTGAAGTTTACCTGCGAAAAATTCACTCCAACGATGTGAACAGCTCTAGTCGACTTGAGTTGATATGGCCGCGGTATTCTGTGGTTGTTTGTCATGGTTGCCGCACTGTCATCGATTGGTGTTCATACTCTGCATTTTTTTCAAATATTGTTTTTGTTGTCTCCGATTCACATTGAAATCGCCTTCGGATAGTTGACTTTGTGTCATCTGTTGTCTATTTGTGGTGCATACACGCTTGCTCTTTCGTGTTTATCCGAAGTGTCATTACACTAATGTGTATAAAAGAACAGTGTTCGGAAGTTCAAAGCTCCAAAACAAGCCCTGGAATTTTCACACCATAAACTGAAATTTTCTTCGGTGCGTTCTATGAGCAGTTAACCGGTCATCAATTTCCGGGGCCTTATGTGACTCTGGAAGCTTTTTCTGATGGACCACTTCCAGACCTAGCCTTTAAGGGCTCCTTTAGGCGATCTCGAGAACAACTGCGCTATTTGCTGTGTGTTGAAAACTTATAGTCACGGGACTACTTAAGTCAGTACTCAAATCAGAGCTTCCAGTGATTGATGGATTATCAATGTTCCAACTCCCACGTACTGCTTCTGTCAGTGCACAAGCAATCTGACTGTATAGGATTACTCCCGGTAGAGGGATGATTATGCGTTGAAACAGCGCCACATCTGACTGACTCGTTTTTCCTCATTGCTCGCTTATCCCCCCCACACACAATTCACTAACCCATGAACTACGAGATTTTATCGCCAGCTGAGTCTGCCAATGGTATGCAGTTTGTCGGTTCTTGCTCATCCCGTCCGCGTTTCGCCTAGAAATCCTCCAGCTGAATTGTTCACGCAGTGTGAGTATTAGTTTGCTTGTACGGATGTGTACTGTTTTGATTAGCTGACAAAGTGGTAAACAACTGAGCCCCCCACCCGTCAACCTTAGCGTCATGAGTGTGTATCGCAACATGGGTACAAAATGGTAACCAGTAAGAAAGTGGGGTTGATGTTGATTTCGGAACCATGTCTACCTGATAACCTCCCAACGAAGGCGGGACGGACACTGAGTTACCGGAAGTTTTCGGTAACTTTACGATTAGTATTGAGACGAATACGGTTTCATGTAGGCAAGCCCAAACATACAGGAGAGTTGATTGTTTCACTACCGCATGTTTTTTATGAGTTTTGTGAGTTTTGTGTTTGTTTTCATTTCTATCTCATCATTCTTTCATTATGCTGAACAATGATTTCAAATTATTCTGTTGTATTCTGTTTAACTGATGTGTCGTGTACACATGTACACACGACGCACCACGAAACGCTGATCATTTAGAATAGTCTATAATGGTTTTACGAATGACTGTCTATAACCAACACACATATCACTAGCCGGCCGCATGTCTGCCTGGGCTGTCCGTTGAAGGCAGCAATCATCATAATCAACAATAGCATGACATCGGTGTTTAACACCAATGCTCCGCTGTCGTAAAACCATGATTTATTTGAAAGCCTTATCGTGAAGAAAACGATAAAAGTGGACGGGGAACGGACTTGGTGCTAGCTTACTACAATGATTCCGAGGTGACTGTATCTCCACTCATTCAGCTAATCTGGATAGAAACTAACAACAAGAACGCCACTGACATCCGTTGGCAGCCATATCTTGTAGTGTCTCCAACCAGGCACAGTGAGGATCACGCAGTCCTCATACTGGAAGGCGAGTAGCACCGACAGCACCCAAGCGTTTCGTGATCTGCTTCATACTCCTCTGCCAAGTCAAGTGTTGGCCACCTCTCTGTTTACGTTACTCTGAGTTGGGCATGGAAAACAGCACTCTCTTTGGCAAACGATGGTTCGGCATACCCAACACACGTCCCAGCCAACGCAGCTTCTGGTGCTAGACACATTCTTCAGTGGAAGTACCCGTTGCAAAACTGAAAACTCGCTTTCAAATAGCCTCGTTACGTATACGCTGACATAAAACAACACGAGTTATGGTCCTGAGACAAAGACTGCCGTACAACTGAAGACGCATCAGTTCCGCTGCTCGAACAGGCCAAGTCTCACAGCCATACAGCAAAACAGTCCGCAATCTAGCTTGATTTAAGGATACACGCCATAGGTGTCTCAAATTAGCAAACATGTCCCGAGCGTGGCAGATCGTGCATTGAACCTCATCTGTCACAGTACAGTCAGGAGTAATACAACTTCCAAGAAACGCTCTACAACTTCCAGTGAATCTTCCTGGGTTGTATGTGGCGTGCCCAGGGACTGCATGTCCAGGAGGATGACCTTACACTTTGTGGGTGCAAAGTAAATACCAAAGGATAGGATGACTTCGGTCAGTTCATCCAAAAACACTCGCGCCTTCTCCTGCTCTTCGAAGATGGGAACGATGTCATCTGCGTAATCCAGATCAACAAAGTTTCGGTCACAGGCTATCTGAACCTTCCAGCGTTCGTTTCATAATTTCATCGATCACGAAGTTAAACAGGAATGTGGAGAGTGGGAATACCCGACGGACACCACTTTATGTACAGAAGCTTTTGGAGAGCTCTCCGTATACTCTCACCCGTCCGGAAGTCTGAAGGGTGCTGGAGCTGTCCATCTGCCCTCACTAAGATGACCAGCTAAGCAGTCTCATGGGTTTATAACTGTACACTGTAAACTTTACACTAGGTACAAAATATTCAGCCAGCTGCACCTGTGGCTAAGCTTAGGAATATCACCAGGAATTCGGATGGTGGGGAAGGATAATATTCAGTCAGCCTAGCCCAGAATCGACGACGAGCTGGGAAAAACTAGCCAACTGTATATGAAAAACCAGTTCACCAAATAAATTCACCGATTGGCCAACATTTTTGGCTGACTACAAATAAGGTTTACCAGTCGCAAAAGGTGGTAATCGATAGGGGATCAACACATCTGGTAGCCGTTTAGCGAAATACACTCATTTGCAAACTAACTTGGTTTTGCCAGAGACTCGTCTGGAACCCAGCGGATGTTTCCAGGCAACTGAATGTGCTGCACCAGGCCGCCTCATGTTTCAGTCGCTACGACATTCGAGTTATCGTGATACATGTATATTCGTAATGCACTACTCATAAGGTTGCTGAAAACGCCTCGATGGCCCACGACCGGTTTCCTCTTGGAGCTCATCAGGTAAGCGCAGTCCCCGAGCCTCAGCTGCGTTCCAGGTTAGTCTCTCGCAAAACCAAATTAGTTTGCAAATGAGTGTAGTTCGCTAATTTCGTGCAATTTGGTTTCAAGTAGAACCTAAGGTTAACGGAAACCCGAGGACTGCGCCTACCTGATGAGCCCCAAGAAGGGCGATACTGGTAGCCAGTTCTTTTATCTGCCTATCGCTGACACATGCATGAGGAACTATCCGGAGTAGGCGGTTGCGGGTTGCTCTATGAATAGTTTCCGTTGTTTGATAAAAAAGCTCATTCGGAGATGCATTAAGCAATTCAACTAACAAGGCTCTGCCTTATTATCCATGGATATTTACACAAGGCACAGAACCCATTCAGAAAGTTGAAATTTGTGACACCTTAAAATGACTTCAAACTCAATGAAATGACGCCCCACGCTGGGTTTTTACTATGACGCTTGCAATTTTCCCCCCTTATTTAGACCTACAGAGTGACCTCCCCAAGAATTTCTCGCTAAACTATGAGGAAAGTGTCGCCCAAATTTACCTGTTCTGGGAGGAATCCCTGATTATAACTCAAAAGGCGATTTACGAACTGACATACACCATCGGTGGGAACTCTGGAAGCTATGAGATTCAAAATGCTCCACTTGAGTTCGTTTTGGATAAACCACCTTGTACGATAATCGGCCTGACTTTACGAGTGCACAATACGACGGACTATTCCGATGAATTTGCTATGATCGCCTTTGAATCACAACCTGAAAGTGAGTGTTTTTACTAAAATCAGAATTGAACCACATGTAATGCTTTTCGAGAAATACACTCGTTTGCAAATCAATTTGCTGTTCACGAGAGCTCAAGTGAATAGTTCACGGGGGGAAATGGAACATCAGCTATTTTGATTCCACAACTCCGGACGTAATTTAACAGCATTACATGTGTCTTTTTTCATAAAGAAAATTACTCATAAGGTTGCTGAAAACTCTTCGACAGCCCACGACCGGTTTCGCCCTACTTGGCCGCTCATCAGGTAGGCGCAGCCCCCGAGGTTCCGTCAACCTTTTGTTCTACTTGAACGCAAATCGCACTGTTTTCGAGAAGTACACCCATTTGCAGATCGATTTGGTTTGCACGGAAAGCTCCACTGAATCTCTCGTTTATGACATACTACAACATAAGTTTGACGGAAACTCAGAGAATGTGCCCATCTGATAAGCCTCAAAAAGGGTGAAACTAGTCGTGGGCTGTCGAAGAGTTTTCAGAAACCTTATGATTAGTTTTCTTTATAAAAAGAACACATGTAATGCTGTTAAATTACGTCCGGAGTTGTGGAATCAAAATAGCTGATGTTCCATTTCCCCCCGTGAACTATGAGCTACCGATATCAGTCAAAGTTAACTGCTTACATTGCAGAACGAGCAAGGAACGTTTTAACGTCACTGCCGATGCAAAGAGTCATATATCTTATGTATAAGAAATGTGCGTCTAACATATATATTATCTTCTGTGTCTCCCGTGCCCACAAATATCGAATAAACTGAATGCACTGCATATATGTTTTCCCAAAGTTGTTGCTCATGTCACCTTCAGCAATGCGATAGAATGTGATCAATCTAGAACAACCTAACAGACGGGAAATGCACACTTTAGCCGCCTGTTGAAGTGCAAATAGCGGGAGGTCAAAATCCCAAAGCCTCGTGAATGAACATGATGAAATCGGCGAAGTGATGCAACTGGACTGCGGGAACAAACCACAGCAAAGGAACACAGTAAAATAAACTGTCCAAACATACTAACGATGATGTTGAGCAAACGGTAACCGGGTTTGCAATTTTGAAAACTAATTGGCGTTCTACATTCCTTGAATACTTGCCCTCCTCAAGTCTGTCGACTCAGCTTGTCACTACGTTTACGTAGCATTCAGAGTGTCCACACTATGGAGCATCCTGTCGACTATTTTCTTGAAATGGACATACGAAAAAGCTAGTAACAAGGGCTGACTGCGCACTCAACATTCGTTTGCAAGGTGAATCGTAACCAGACTGATGTCAATCTAATTTTCAGAAGCTGGTGCAAATAAATCTTGCTCTTCGTTAGGAAGTAGATTACAGAAGATAACAAAGCTGCATCGACCTAGAATCGGGCGGCTGCTTCCAACCGTGAGCTTAAGTCATAGTACTGAAAACAGTGCTGAGTAGTATCCCCACTTCCCTAATATACACCAAACGAATCCTGGCACATTTGCCTTGTGCGTACCTGTCAGACAAAAAAAGACTGTCAACCTCATTTGAAACCTGTTTAAATCTTAGGTTCATCAGAATCGAATATGCGAATCACCCCTCCGAGGTTCAAGAAAAATCATGTGAGGCTTCTCCGGGTCCTTATATAAAGTATATATATATATATA